TTTATGCACACCAACTGTTTGTTAAAATGCTTCAATGAACATGAAACATATATTGATTGTTGATGCTGTTATAAACTGAATATGGATAAGTCTTGGATGGGAGCATACAGAACATCATAAAGATATGTAAAGGGTGTTGCAAAATTTTTGAAATATGCAGTACATAATTACAAGATTTCTAAAATTATGGATGTTGTAGATACCAAAAAAAAGATAGGAATTCCATGTCCATTTGTCAAATGTGTAAACTGCATATCTCATTTGGTGGATGTGGTAGATGATCACCTATTCAGGAATGGAATTGATCAAACATACATGAATTGGAATAAGCATGGAGAAAAAGAGGAACCACCCAGAAATTATATATATGAACATAATTTTGACATGGACACGTCATACGTTGTTGATTTGACGACCATGAACACAGAAATGCCATCAGATGCTGTAGAAATAGTAGAGATGGTGGAAGCTGTAGAAGAAAATTTTATTGGGAATCTGAGAAGTTTAGAGAACTGATTGAAGATGCCGAGAAGCCCCTATATGAAGGGTGTCCTAATTTCACAAAACTATCTGCAGTCATACAACTACTCAACTTAAAGAGTAAGTATGGAGTATCAGATAAGTGCTTTACATAATTATTGGTTTTGATGAAAAATATGTTACCAGAAGGTAACGAAATGTACAGTAGTACATACGAGGCCAAAAAAGCGTTCAAGGCAATGGGTTCAAGGTATACTAAGATACATGCATGTGTCAACAACTGTATACTTTACAGAAACGAATATACAGACATGGAAGCATGTCCTACTTGTGGTAAATCAAGATGGAAGGTCGATGAACAAAAAAATAAAATTTACAAAAATATTCCTGCAAAAGTTTTTTGTGGTACTTTCCAATTATTCCGCACTTGAAACGACTTTTTCAGTCTAAGACTACTGCAAAAGATTTAACATGGCACGCAACAGACAGAAAGGTGGATATTGGTGTTTTAAGTCACCCAGCTGATTCACCAGCATGGGCTGCCATTGATGACAAATATCCTGACTTTGCTAGCGAGCCAAGAAATTTACGGCTAGGCATTTCGGCTGACGGGGTCGATGTGAATAGAGGAAATAGGAGTCATAGTGTGTGGCCTATTTTAACTGTCATTTACAACCTTCCACCATGGTTGTGTATGAAGAGAAAGTTCATCATGCTTTCATTATTGATTTCGGGAACACCAGGAAACGATATTGATGTGTTCCTAGCAACTTTTATTGATGATCTGCAATTATTATTTGATATTGGAGTTGAAACATACGATGCATATGCATAACAGCTGTTTAAACTACGTGCAGTAGTGTTATGGACTATTAATGATTATCCTGCTCTAGGTACATTAAGTGGTTGTCCATACAGCGGATTTCAAGGTTGTGTTGTGTGTGGCGAAGAAACACACTGCATTAGACTCCCTGAATCGAAAAAGCAGAGTTATGCTGGTCATAGACGATTTCTACCGTATGATCACCCGTTCAGAAGACAAAAAAAGGCATTCAATGGACAACAAGAGTTCTCACCCTCTCCAGAACCTATGAATGGGGAGGAAGTATATAACAGGGTCAAATTTATAATTAATAAATGGGGAAAGGTGTCTAAGGGCAAGGAGGCAGAAACCTTAACAATCTACAAGTAGAAGAGGTGGGAAGATAAATAAAAAAAAGAGAAAATCACTGAAAGTGGGTACTTCAGATGTGGGCCAGCAAAATAATACATACTGGAATAAATTCAATATATGGTATAGACAGCTAAGGTATTGGCGCGACAATTTGATTCCACATTGTATAGATTTTATGCATGTCGAAAAGAACGTGGGCGAGAGTTTAACTGGAACTGTGTTGAACGTTCCCGGGAAGACGAAAGATGGTTATAAAGCTCGATTGGATTTTGTTCATTATGGTTTAAAACCAGAGTTGCATCCTAAAATAGAAGGGAACAACACAACACTTCCCGCAGCAGGTTGTACATATACAAAAGAGGAAAAAGACAAATTCTGTGAGACTTTATACAACTTAAGGGTTCCTCAAGGGTATTGTTCTAATTTTTCTAGTTTGGTGAGTCTGAAGGATAGGAAGTTGATCGGACTAAAATCACATGACTATCACATGCTCATGCAACAATTTTTGCCCATAGCAATTCGATTTATTATGCATCCACCCACCAGAGTTGCTATTACAAGATTTTGTTTCTTTTTCAAATCAATATGTAGCAAAGAAATCATACTGGATGAGCTCGATAAGTTGCAAGAGGAATTATGTGTAACCTTATGCCTTCTAGAGAAACACTTTCCACCATCATTTTTTGATGTGATGATTCATTTAACCGTTCATCTAACTAGGGAAGTAAAATTATGCGGTCCGATATTCTTTAGATGGATGTACCCGTTCGAAAGGTTTATGAAGGTTATTAAGGGGCACGTGCGAAACAAAAAATAGACCAGAAGGATGCATTGCAGAAGAAAATGTTGGAGAAGAGACGATTGAGTTTTTTAGTGAATTCCTCAAAAAGATGGATACTGTTGGTATTCCCCCTGACAATCATAACACATGTGGAATTCAGATAGGTGTAGATAGTAGTTCTATTACGGACGGTACTCCTCTATCGGCTGCTAAATCGGTAGAAGTGTCCGCAGAACTATTCAGAAAAGCACATTTCTTTGTATTGCAAAATACATCTGAAGTACTCCCGTATATCAAGTAAGTTGTTTTACATATATGTTTTTTTGTTATAATATTAACATTAACGTATTGACAGACGACACATGTATTTTTTGCAACATCAACACCCTACTAAACGAAAGGCACAACTACAACAAGAGCACAATAATACATTTGGTCATTGGTTACAAAAGGAGGTATATTCATTTCATAAATGTTGTGTTTTTTGTTATGTATTTCTTTATATCTTAAATTCATTATCTAATTACAATTCAGGTAGAGGGAGAGTTAGGGGGCTGTAGAGAAAGTATAACAGAGACAATGAGATGGATTTCACATGGACCCAATAAGAAGATTATTAAATACGATGTATATGCTATCAATGGATATACTTTTCGTACAAAAGCTCGTGAAGGTAAAGTTTACCAAAACAGTGGGGTTAGTGTCGTTGCAACTGACACACACATCAGTAAAGAAGTTGTAACATATTCCAAAAACACTTACTATGGTGTTTTACAAGAGATATGGGTACTAGATTATCATTTTAAACGAATTCCAATTTTCATGTATGACTGGGTTGACAATAGAAATGGGGTTAAAAGGGATAAATTGGGGTACACACTAGTTGAACTAAAAAGATTAGGCCATAAAGGTGATCCCTTCATATTGGCCTCACAAGCCGACAAGTATTTTATGTCACAGACCCACTCGATCGAAAAATGTCTATTGTGTTCATACACCTCCCAAAAATTACAGAGATACATATGAAGATGTAGATGAAGAATTTAGTACTGTAGTTCCTCAGAATGATAATATATTGCCACGTGTAGACACACTTGAGTTGCAGAAGGAAAATGATTATTTTCGTACTGATTGTCATGGTATTGTTATACGTACGGTATGTGTTTCTTAATGTCATGAATTACATTTGTAGCGATAATATTTTTCCTTCTTTTAACATTTAATGATCTTTATTTTTGTCTGTAGAAGGGAAAGGCCAAACCTTCATCCTAGCGTTACGTGGAGAATAAGAAAATGACAAAAAATGACGATGTACTTTCCTTAATATTTTTTTACCATATTATACTATCAAACTATTCTAGTGTAATATTGTTATAACTCAAAGTTATTTTTTTTTCAGTTTTTTACTGTAATGGTGGATGACATGTTATAACATAAACTACATGTTATAGTAATGTACTTTCGTTATGCAATGTTAGACAAAGTTGTATTCTTTTCAGTTATTTATCATACTATTCTTTTAAAATAAGTTTTATTCTTTTCATTTTTAATGGTGTCTGATCTGGTGCAATTAAAAGAATAGATGACAAAAAGGGCAATTTGGTCCTTTCTTATAGCTCTTATTCAACACAACTATATTGTTATTTGTTTTTGTTTTTATTATTTTTAGTTGTTTTTGTTTTCTTCATAAATTGTTTCTAGCTTTACAAAATAAGCAATGTACTTTTGTAAAATGCCATGATTGAACTTTTTGTTCATTTTTAATTCCGCCAAATGATATCAAAGATAATTATAGTCAAATTTAAGAGTCTTCTAAATACAATAGTACAACCAGAATAAACATTACATATGTGTCTATATTTACATATAGACACATATAATAGCTGTAATCGTAACTAAATCGTACCTACACACACAATATTTGTTTCTTCTTAAAGCTAATTCATAATATTTTGACACACATAATAAATGATACATGACCATAAGTAACCAATACTAACTTGTTTTAATTTCTTGCATAAACTAAATACAACTAGTACAGAACCGCCCTATGGACACACAAATATTTAGTGTGACCATATGTATCACCTTTTAGCTACTTTGTGTGTTATGTGGCTAAATAGGCACCAGGTTACAAACACACATAGAACTAACTCATGTCACGATACGTTAATCTACTGTATCTCATAAAAAAAGTATGGCAATCTTAATCGATACCTGTGGCTGATTGTGACTTATGGCCTCAGTGGTCGAGTGTGACTAATATTTGTCACATTTGGTATAATTAAGTATGGTTAAAGTTTTGATTATCTATATAATGGCCACACAAACTAATTTTAATGTATCTAATAACAGTCTCTAAATTTTTTTAGTGACCTTTGGCCACACTTTTAATAAAAAGTGTCACAGGCCGTTTTTCAGAAAGTGTGACCGTAGGTCATTTTTGTACTAGGTGGCTTTCATTAACCGTCTTGCCTATATAAAGAGTTGAATTTCAAGGTAATTGCTTCAATGAGAGTTGTCGATTGACAATTGTTGGAATAAATAGTTGCTTCTGTTGCTCCAATGTCTTCCGATTCGTCTGAGATACCTTCAATTAAGGTAAAAATTCATTTGTTTATTCGATTTCCATTGTTTGTATGTCATTGCATTTTTTTTGTTTCAATTGATAAACTAATTTATTCGTTTGATGTCATGTTTTTTCCAATTCGTATAATCTTTCTTCACGTAAGGTTAGCTTATTATCTCGATTCATTTGATATTTAGTCCATTGTATAATCAAGTTCGACGTAATCGAAAGTAATGTCCATTAATGTTTCAAGTTTCGATTTCATATGTATTAATAATTTTGTTATGTAGAACATTGAAGTTGTTGCTGGAAAAGTGAATCCACCGAAAAATGTATCGAAATCGACAGTTGATCCTAATGATTCCAATTCCTCTGACATACCTTCAGCTGAGGTAAACATTCAATTGTTTAATTGATTTCTGTTGTTTGTATTTCATTGGAATTGTTTGTTTAAATTGGTAAAAGTAATTGATTCCATACATTTATGTTTTGCAATTCGTTGGTTGTTTTCCCAGATAAGGTAAAACTTTTTTTACTCTGTAATCGTATCCTTTGATTGTTACTTAATTGTATTTTCAAGGTGGATGTCTATTTTAAGTGAAGGTTCAACTATGTTTCATATTTCGATTGCTTATGTAATAACAATTGTGTTATGTTTAATTATTATGTAGAACTTTGAATATGTTTGTGGAAAAGTCGATCCACTATCAGATGTATCACAATCGACATTTGATCCTAATGATTCCAATTTGTCTGACATCTGCTCACCTAAGGTAAAAAATTACTTATTCAATCGATTTCTATGGTTTGTACTTTATTGATTGCAATTTTTCTATTACTTCTTCACACAAGGTAAACTTATTGTGTTTGTAATAGATTGATTTTATTTGTTATTCATTGTATATTCAATTTCGTTGAACTTAAATTTCATTTATTTCTCACATTTGGATTTCATATGTATTAGCAATTGTGTTATTTGTGATTGTTTTGTAGAAATTTGGAGAATTTGATTGAAAAGTCAATCTACATTCAGATGTATCAAAATCTTCATTTATTTCTCAAATTTGGATTTAATATGTATTAGCAATTGTGTTCTTTGTAATTGTTTTGTAGAAATTTGGAGATTTTGATGGAAAAGTCAATCCACATTCAGATGTATCAAAATCGAAATGTCACTCTGACTCTCATAGTGTTGAAATAATCGACTTTAGTGTTCACTTCAGTCCCTAGAAATCCCAGTTGGAGAGGGTAATTTCGGAAGAGGTAAAGATTTTATAATTTATGTTTTTAGATATATATGCATGTAAGTTTGTTTTTCTATTTCAGTTATCTTTAATTGCCAAAGAAGAGGAGAAACTGTCAAAAAAAGAAAAAAGGAAGTTGTCTTTGTTATGTTGGAAGTGGGAAGAAGTTGTAGATCTATGTGAAGATGAAGAATTGGGTGTAGATCTACCATTCATACTAGTGAAAAAGAAAGTGAAAGTTTCCATTCAATCAAGAAATCGAGTCATGAAACTTTTTGATGAATCAGATGTTGATGAGTGATTTAGATTAAGTTTGTGAACTTTTTTTTTTTGAGAATTGTTCTTTTGGATTTGCTGCATTTAGTGGTTAGTTGTTTTTTTGGATTAATGTTACTAAGTTTTTTAGTTGTAGTAAATTGTTTTTAATGTTATTTCACTTTTATTGCTTTCAATTAAAGTAACCGAATATCCTTATCAAATATCTTTATCATATTTTATTTTGTTTAGTACTGTTTACCCCTCATGCATCATTTATGGTTTTGGACCATTTTACCCTTTATATATATATGTTTTTTGTTATTGTAACAGATTGCTAAATGGGTTTAATGATATCGAACCATTTTACCCCTCCTGCATTGTTAATGATTTTTAACCGTTTTACCCCTACTTGCTTTATCAATGTTTTATGTTATAGGTAGTTTTGAGATTTTGTTGTAAAAACCACAAATAATAAAAAAAGTAATTATGTTATATTTTCTTAATTAAGCATTATACTTTAAATTATAGCATCATACTTTACATTTTAATTCTTATTTACAATTAAAAGGTATGTTTTTTTGTTATTGTAACGTATTCGTTATTCGTTGTAAGTATTTTGGACGATTTTACCCATCCCCCATCTTTTCTGAATTTGGACCGTTTTACCCCTCCCCCATTTGTATTGAAAGGATTATGGGTTGTCAAATAAAATATGAATAAGAAAAATAGCATTATTTTAAAAAAAAATGATGTTATATTTGAAAGTACGTTGCTTAAATAGTTACATCTTTTAACTTTATTTACGATACATTTGTCGGAGATGTACAATTGTTTTATATATCTAGAAAAAACTTAAATCTGAAAAAAAAAGAAAAAAAAAACTGAAAACTGAGGTTTGTATCTTCCACTTACAACTTTAATGCAACAAGTTCTTTAGCTAAAGCTATATTCCTCTCCTGCAGTTTAAGGAAATCCAGATCTGATTTATTAAGTTTCTATTGCATGCTTAAATGTGAGAGACACACCCTCCTTACATAATGGTTATATGTAAGAAATAACAATGTTCTTTAATTGATTTGTTTATCATACCATGCCACTTTCATTCTTTATATTAAATATTTTGACTTTGAAAATCTACCAATCATAGCAATAGGATTCAAATAGAAATGAATTTTCATTAACAGATTTCTAATCGGTTTTAATGATATTGGACCATTTTACCCCTCCTGCATTGTTAATGATTATTAACCGTTTTACCCCTGCTTGCATTATGAGTGTTTTATGTTACAGGTAGTTTTGAGTTTTTGTTGTGAAAAACACAAATAATATAAAAAGTAATTATGTTATATTTTCTTAATTAACCATTATACTGTAAATTATAGCATCATACTTTACATTCTAATTCTTATTTACAATAAAAAGGTATGTTTTTTTTGTTATTGTAACATATTCGTTATTCGTTTTAATGATTTTGGACGATTTTACCCCTCCTGCATCTTTTCTGATTTTGGACCGTTTTACCCCTCCCCCATATGTAACTTCTCTTTGGTTTTTTCAAGCATTTTAACCTAATTTATACCTACTAAATTCAGTTAAGTAGTTTCAGAGTATTAAAAATATAAGAAATTTTATGAGCGAAATTTAAATTATGCGTTTTTGCTTTTTTCTTTTGTTTTTTATCTATTATTTGTTTATTTAAATGTTATTTATATGAATATAAAAAATAGAGGGCAATAATGGAATTTGCACTGTTTACATGATTGGAGTTTACGAAAACTTGGGAGTAAAGTTGAGGGGTAGTGTATGTAACCGTTTCTTCTTTAACATGTTACATCGGATTTGCTCTGCACGTTTATTCTATAACTTGCGATCAAATGAATTATGTGCATTGTAGTATATCGAAACATTCTCTGTGTCCATAACTTCCTTCATTCTGCTTCAGTTAGTCGGCCAATCTGAAATTGGAATACATAAAAGGGTGATACAAGGTATTAACTTCAAATTAGCTATTACTTATCTTTTTTTTAATGTTTGTTTATATGTTTGTAAGTTATTTATGCGAAAAAAGTATGAGTTTTGTGAAATTGGATTAGTAATTTCGTTTAACAATTGAAATATTGTATTGTGTTTTCAAGTTGTTTTGTTGTGTTTGTTGATTTTGTTGTTTTGTTTGTAAAGAAAACGTCTTACATAAAACAAAAACGGTTTATTTTGCCAAATTTTGTTTGTTTTTGCGTAAAATTGTAGATGAATTTATGTTTTATTTTATTTTGATGTAAGTTGTTTGCTATACATGTTATCTTTTTTCTTTCTCATATCTGTCAAGACAAAGAAACTCTTTTTTGCTGTGTAATTATGTGAAACAATATAACAACTTTCTTTGATACAATCAACAATGGATGATGCTGAAGGTTATGAAATCAATCGTCAAACACAACTCCATACGAAGGTATCTTTTTCAATTATGTTTATGTCAACCCTACTGTTAAGTTCTCGACATTGGTAATTATTAAATAAATCTATAAATGGTGTGGGGTGAAATGGGAGGGGTGTGGGCATAATGGTCATTCTACTTTCTATATACTACCATTGTATTTATAATGGTTATTTTTATACTTTCATCTACCTTTTTAATCATTCATATGTTATATGCAATTTAAATATTTATTTTTAGTTTATGTTTGTTCATTATATAATTATTTTAATTGTTTTACAGCAGACATTATTGGACACTGACGTGTTTATTGAAATTCTTTCAAGAACATCATTAAAGACATTTCATATCATACGTCGTACAAGTAAACATCTTGAAAAACTAACGTACAACAGCCATGTTCTTGATCTTTTCAAGGGGAAAAATAATGTGCTTCATGGAGTTATTGTTCAACAAAAGAAAGTTTGGGGATCGATAGAACGTAAGTTTGTTTCGTCTTGTGGTTCGATTAACTTTGACATTGGTTGTATACCAAATTCATGTACAATCTTAGCAACTTCATTGAACGGACTCATTCTTGGTGAATGTGATTGTTCGGATGAATATCCGGAAAAGTTTTTATTTATTTGTAAACCGACGACATTAGATTGCAGAACATTACCATTTTCGATATATAAGTACATAGCGGTCAAGTTTGCTATGGTGGTTATGCGTTCGAACCCGTTTCATTTCAAGATAATTCGTTTATCATATGCAGAGTCAGAGTAAGTCTTTTTTACAATTATTATTTAAGTATTTTTTTATTTGTTTGTATAACTTTTATGTTTCTTTCGTTGTAGTGACGTGACAAACGATCGTGACTATGAAAACTTCCGACAAGAATTATTTCAGTCCACTACATGGGAATGGAGGGACCTTGGTAATATTCGGTTACCATATTCTGTTCATCCGGTATCGGACGAAACAATCATAAGTAAAGGTGTAGTTTACATCTTATTGTCAAACTATCAAATTTTGCAGTTTGATGCATATTCTGAAGAATATGTAATCATATTCTCACCTTCTACACATATAAATTACATGTCGTATACATCGAGACTAATAAAATTTGAGGGAAAGTTGGGATTTTTTTGTCTGAATGGAGATCGTATGTGGGTATTTGGGTTCTCATTCGTAATCAGTGGGTTGAAGTTGATGTTATTAGCATGAATGCAGATGCACATGAATGGTGGGATTATCGAAACAATGAACTTTCTTTTTTTACAGGAAAAAGAATTGAGTGTGTTGTTCTGGTTCATCGTTGTCATGAAGTCTTTTCATTTTGTTCGGATTTTAAGACGATAACTATGCCAAGAAGATTTATTCGATTGTATTTATTTGACATTGAATTGATTAACCGTTGTTTATTTGTTGGGTTTTATATTTTAAATATTTGGTTTTCATTTTATACTTTGTTTTTATTGTAATTTATAATTTCAATCATCAAATTATGTTGTTTTATGTTATATGATCTGAAATTATTTGTTTATATATGTGTTGAAGAAGGGAAACCAATTATTTCCATTTTTAGGTTGTAATGACTAATTTTGTTTGAATATATCTTTCAATTGCGGTTTAATTGTAGTCACAACATAACCTATATTTATGTATGTTCTTATTGACAACTTGGGGACTGCATTTATGAAGTAAAAAAATTTGTCTTTAATGTTAATGTTTGTTTTACATGCAAGAAGTAACAAGCTACTTTAAAGTTAATTTATTTTTACTTAGGTATTTTACTTTGCAAATTATTGTTTCATTTATATGTTTAATATACCATAAATTTCATTCTAATTTATGAGTTAGTACACTTTACCTAATTTTCCCAATCATTAATTTTGCTTTCAAATTTGTACATGACCTAATGAGGGTCAACCCTAACCCATATGAATTAAAAAATTCATTTTATATATTTATTATAAATTTATATATACATTTATTTTTTTGTATGATAAAAAAAACAAAGCTACTATGGATATTACATTTAATTAATATTATAGATATTGATGTAAATACTATATTAATGTATAATACAAAATGGGTAATCATTATCGTAGCCGTCGTTCAAAATCCAACTCCCCTGTAGCCTGCAATTAATCGGAGAAGTGATGGCCTCAGTCGACGTCCCTTCACCTCCGAATGATGACCTTTTAAACCCTTCCCTTATGTCAATTTCGTCATTCTCACATATTCATTACGTTACGATAACTTCGATTTCTTGCTCTTCCTCTTTGAAAAAAACTACCACGATCAATTGAACCGAAGATGAATGCTGATCTGTGGGCACGTCCGAACTTCCAACTATGGAGTGTAAGCGCCGAACCACCAAGAATCACACCGGTTGTAGAATACGGGAAGGCAAACGAGAAGAGATTCACCATTTACGTTGTTCATGGTGGGTTTTTAGGCGTATCAACAGACAAAGGTTCACTTTATTTCTCAAGTCAACATCGATTTGATCAACATGGAGATGCTTGGTCGTTTTTCTAAAAGCCTTGGGTATACAACTTTGGGGAACTGGTATCATATGCCAACCGAAGAAAACAGTGGGTTGTCAATGATTCCAATTCTAAATGATGAATGTTTGGGACCCTTCAAGACGATAGTTAGGGCACACAAATTCAGAGAGATTGAACATCTCTATGTTGAACACAGGACTGTGTTTGTTCCAATCAATTTCCCACACTTTTTGATGAACTCACCATCCAAACGTGTTGAGAAGCTTATTCACATGTTTGTAACAGAACATCCAATGGCAACAGTTGATGATGGAATAGCATACATCAAACATATGCTAAACATGACCATTCCAAGAGAAAAAATGGAGGATGCTATGGACATGGCCAAAGAGAATGTCATAGCATGGAAAAACATAGTGTAGGTGAACTATGTTGTACTCCTTTTTGTGTTTAATACAGAGTAAACATGATACTCTTTTTTTTGTAATTAGTATGAAACTCTTTTATTTTATGTAATGTTATATATTATGTCTATATGTGATGTTGTTTTGATTATATATTATGTCTATATTTAATGAGTTGTATGTTTTTTTGTAGGGAAATTATAGATGATTTTGTTGTTTATGACCAATTCCATTTGGAAATATTTCATTCTGTTACATTATGTAGCATTTTACTCCTCCTGCCTAATTTTTTTGGGACCGTTTTACCCCTAATTGCATTTTTAGTGTTTTACCTTATATGTAGTTTTGAAGTTTTGTTGAAAAAACACAGATAATAAAAAAAAAGTTATTTAACCAAAAATTAACTTTGTAATTCGATTAAGCAGGTAGAAAGGTTTGAAATGTAAGATATTTAATGAGTAAAACTGAAATGATACGTGTTGGTTTTTTCTTGCTGTTTTTTATCTATTATTTGTTAAATTAAAGGTTAGTTAAATCAATAAAAAAAACGGTTGAATGCACTAATGGAATTATCATTGTCAAGGTTATTGGAGTGTAGGAACCATGTTATTAAAGTTGAGGGTTAGTGGGTATAACCGTTTCTTTATAACCCATTACACCCGATTTTGCTTTGCACAATCATTCGTACTATTTAAATGAATTTGATGAACGTGTCCATTTTATAACATCGAAACCTTCTGTGTCTCCAACTCTCCATACGTTTCTTCATTGTGCTTCAATTACTCGGGTTTTCTGAATTTGGAACACATCTAAGGGTGATACAAGGTTTCAACTTCATAATATGTATTACTTTCTCTTTTTTAATGTTTGTTTATATGTTGTTAAGTGTGATATACCACAAAAATTATATGATTTCGTTGAAATTGGATAAGTTGGATCGTTTACCCATTTACATATTGTATTGCGTTTTCAACTTTATTTAGTATGTTTGTTGCTTTTTTTGGTTTGTCGGTAAATAAAACGTGATACAGAAAACAAAATTGTATTATTTTGCAACATTTTGTTTGTTCTTGAGTAAAATTGTAGATTTATTTATGTTATAATTTATTTTGATGTAAGATGTTTTGCTATACAGGTTATCTATTGCTTTATGATATCTGTGAACACAAACAAATTCTCTTTCGGTATGTAGTTCTCTGAAACAATAGATCATCTTAACTTTTGTTTCTTAGTCAATAGTATTAACATGTTTAATAGATTTTATGGTTTAGTTTTTTTTTTTATAAATTTAGTATCATACTAATATGAAATTTAACAAGTATTGCATTGGGGTTTGCCAAATTAATAAGAAAGCTGTTAATCATATCAGCTAATACATTTTAAACGTAATAAAGGAAATCTAAATTTATTATAAAATTATTTTTACAATTGTAATTATAAATGTATACATAAATAACATCTTATTATGTAATGGCATCGTATTATTATATTTGTCATATTAGATTATCGTTTCATAAACTTTATTTAATTTAACTTACCAATGTTTATAGAGGATGGAGGGGTATGTCAATGTTGAAGTTTTTCAATCTTTTCGATTCCAATATACTGGAGTTTCGTATAAGATAGCATTTGTTCGAGTTCATTTTGTCTGGCACGACATTGAGAGAAAAAGAAAACTGGTTATATTCATTGATAAAAATGTCGGGATATATCTTTCATATTGATATTATATTTTTCATAAAGTTTTAATAAATTTATATTTTTAGAGAAAAAAATGGCAGGTTTTGTCCCAGAATAATTATTTCATTTATATGGTGATCATTTAATGGGATGTCTTTTTTTGTTATCGTCATTTCAAGTAAAAAAATTTCACTTCCATGAATACCCGAGATATGAAAATTACTGTTTCATTTATGGTGATTTAAAGATTATTATCAATGAGAAGACACAACTCACTCCGATAGAGGTGGATGTTGACAATGGATTTCCTTTATACCCATTAGTGTTTCCTATTAAAATAGTTGTGCATGACAGTGCTGTTCGAAAACTTATAATCGGTAAATATAAAACCATACTTATTTTGTGATCATATTAACAATTACATATATTAAATATATATAAATATGTTATTACTTTATGTTTTCATTTTATGTAGATTTTGTTGGAAAAATTGTCTCGGGCAAACAGATTAAATTCAAAGATGAGTTTATAATACTTTTGGAAGATGAATTGTAATATAAATATTTTTATTAAATTTATTCATAAGTATTTTGTAAGTAAAATGATAGAAAAATCAAATGTTTTATTAAAAACTATAAATTATTTGTAGAGGACATAGAATTCAAATGAATCTATATGACACAAGTGCTTCGCTTATTGTTCCAACGTATCGTGCAATATCAAGAAAATATATCATTTTTTGTGTCTCGGGTCAAGTTGATTCGCTTACCGTCAAGTATGTTATGAATCATATTTTCCTTATTATTATACAATATATTGTGTTTCAAAATATTAAATGAGAGTGTTTTATCTGTAATATATATTACTGTTTTTTTCCAGTGTCTTTTGGTATCAACAAAATTTACGCAGCTTGCATTTAAACCAGATATGTATGAAGCACACAAGCTTTAGATTTAGTATATTAGTGAAGTAGAATTTTACTTTGATTAGCTATTAGTTTATTTTTATTAGATTTTTTTAAACCTTTATATGTCTACAGTAATGTTTTATTTTCAAATTTGTTTAACTTATGTTTGTCTTATAATGATATAGAGAAACCAAAAAAATTGCTATTCGGTTATATTTGAAATAGTTAACATTTTGTAAAAATAACAATCAAATTTCATATGTATGTTATAACATAAAAACAATAAAGAAAGTCAATTATGCAAAGAATAGATTTTACTTGATAATTGTTTACGTTAAAGCATAACAATATGTTATTTGTCTTTTAAGTAGTGTATAAAACGCTTTCTTTATGGATCTAATGATGTATAATATGTTATTGAAACAGATATATTGTAATGGATAGTCTTGGTAATACATCTGTTCATTCAAGTGACATTGATTTTCCGTTAACAACCGATGTTTCTACCGCTTTACCTTCTGATACTATTGAAGACGAACAAGTCACGAGACGACGCCGTGGAGGTCGTCCTAGGGTAAGAGGACGACCTCCAGATTGTAGCATTGACGATATTACTTCCCCAAGGTGTCGTCGTGGGAGACCATCTTTTGTTGTGTCTCCTTACTTTGTTGGTGACAATGCTCATCGGTATTCACAACATGGAAGTATACATGTCAATGAGAATATTATTACTTCAAATTCGGTACCTAGCATGGCATTCTCATCAGGTTTGTATACTTATTTTTGTAAGTAAGTTACTTACATTGAGCAACCATATGTATCATTTAAATTATATAATTTTATATTAGCCTGTACTGTCAACATCGACGTGACGCGCGCTTCCAATCGGCCATCACCTCATATGATAATTTCTTCAAGTACAACTATTGGTATTGACGGGAATCCAGTTCATTCGACTATAATGAGTAACTTGAATGCTCCAAGTACAACTAATAACTCAGTTGTACATTCGGTGGTACGAACTTATAGTCTGCATAATGGTAGAAGTTCTACTGTTTTACCTTCTAATACCTTTGAAGCCCCAGCAGTCAGGAGACCAAGTCGGGGAGGTCGTCCTCGGGTAAGAGGACGACCTCCAACTTTTAGCATTGACAATATTAGCTCCACATGTCATCATCGTGGTAGACCCTCTTCTGGTGTGTCTCATTTCTTTGTTGTTGTGTCTCTTACTTACATTGATCAAGGATATGTATCATTTATATTATATATATATATATATATATATATATATATATATATATATATATATATATATATATTTCTTAGCCTCTCCTCTCAACAACGAAGAGATGCGCACTTCCGATCGGCCAGCACCTCATAGGATAATTTCTTCACATACAACTTTTGATATTGGTGGGAATTCATTACATTCGACTATAACAGCTAACTCGAATGATCGGATTACAACAAATAACTCTGTTGTACATTCGTCCATACCAACTGTGGATAACGCAAGAAGTTCGTCTTCTAATGCATCACAAATTATACAATCTCAACGTAATCCTTGAATATATATTAATCACTTTTCCAACTTTGTAATAGCATGTCATTTCCTTATATTTAATTCCTTTAAATTCATGTTCTTTAGGTCGTATGTTGTCGTATTGGGATTGTGGCGATGCAACTCGCACATGTATACACTGTGAAGCTATATTATGGTATGAGGAGCGGACCATTAAAACGTATTCGCCATCCATTCCAAAATTCTCCATATGTTGTAGTGAAGGGAAGATTAAATTGCTTTTTTTCTTATGCAACCTCCTCAATTGTTGTGTAACTTATTGGATTACAACGGTGATCGACGTTCAAAAGTTTTTAGAAAACATATTAAGCTTTTAAATCGTATGTTTGCGTTCACGTCAACCGGAGGAAAGATACATACGAGTGGTAAAGATGGTAGAGGTCCGTATACATTTCATTTAAATGGTCATAATCACCATAGAATTAGTACTTTGTTACCTACACACGAGGATGGATGTCCTAGATTTGCGCAGTTGTACATTTATGATACTAAAAATGAAATCGACAATCGATTTTATGCGTTACGCAATTGTGTTCCTACAAGATCAGATGTAACTATGCTTCGACTCTTGGTTCAAGAACTCTTGTCTATGCTAGATGAGAATAACTCATTGGTTCAAGCATTTCGTATGGCTAAAGATAGGTTCCATGAGTCATCAACACAGTCGGTTAAGATTCGATTAATTGGTAACCGAACCAAAGACGGGAGACAGTATAATCTACCAACTGTATCTGAAGTAGCTGCATTGATTCCAGGTGATGGTAGTCCTATACAGTCTCGTGATGTACTTATTGAGGATCGTGGTGATGGTACTGTGCGAAGGATAAGTGAACTGCATCCATCTTTTATGGCGTTGCAGTATCCGTTACTTTTCCCATATGGAGAAGATGGGTTCCATTTAAATATCCCTTTATCGAGTAATTCTACATCACACAAAAGAAAGAATGTTACCTAGAGGGAATATTATTGTTTTCGTTTGCATTTTCGGTTAAATGAAGGTAAAACTCTACATAAAGCCGGTCGCTTGTTTCATACATTCATAGTTGATGCTTATGTTGCAGTGCTTGAACATGATTTAGATTGGTATAAGAGAAACCAAAGTACTATTCACTCCGAGCTGTATCATGGTTTGACTGATAGTTTATGTAGATGCGAAACAAGTGCTTCATATGTGGGTCGTCGAGTTATACTACCATCATCATTCAATGGTGGACTGAGGCATAAGATACAACAATATCAGAATGCAATGGCCATATGTCGTTGGGCTGGAACTCCGGATTTATTTGTTACGATGACGTGCAACCCTAAATGACCTGAAATTGAACGTCATATTCAACAAATGGTACCTGGTCAACCAAGTACCGATCGACCTGACATTGTTACACGTATGTTCAAGATTAAGCTTGATGAGCTGATGAATGACATAAGGAAAAAACATCATTTTGGTTGTACAAAATCCGGTATGTTTTCTTAATATATTTGTTTTCGTCTTTAATTTTAATGTATGTTATTTTACTGTATAATTTTAATTATATGTGTATGCAGTTATTTACACAATTAAGTTCCAAAAACGTGGGTTGCCACATTGTCATTGTCTTGTGTTTCTTCATCCGCCAGATAAAATAACCACAGCCCAAAAGATTGATCAATTTGTATTGGCAGAGTTGCCTTCTCAGGAAAATGACCCAGTTGCTTTTGAAGCTGTTCGTAGTCACATGATGTATGGTCCATGTGGCCAGCTTAACACTTTAAGTCCATGTATGCACAATGGAAGTTGTTCTAAAGGGTATCCTAAGGAATATTGCGATGAAACTTTCATTAGGCGTGATGGTTGGCCCTGTTATAAAAGGTCTAGCGATGGTTCGAAAGTTAAAGTTGGTAATGAGGATATCATGCTTGATAACCGATACGTTGTTCCTCATAATGTCGATTTGCTTGTCAAATATGGTTGTCATATAAATGTTGAGTATTGCAACCAAGGCAGTCTGATTAAGTATCTTTTTAGTTACATTAATAAAGGCCATGATCGTGCCACTGCTGTTTTAGAAGGTCCAGATAGAACACGATCTTTTATATCGATGTTGCACAACGAGAATGAGATCGAAGAATATATTAATTGTCGTTACATTTCTGTATCAGAAGCATGTTGGAAATTGTTGGGATTTGAGATGCAATATCGCTCGGTTGCAGTAGAAAGACTACCATTTCATGAAGAGGATTGTCAAAGAGTTTACTTTAGAGAAGATGATGATATTGCAGAAGTTCTGGATAGGAGGGTATCTGCGGTGTCTAAGTTTACTGAATGGATGAGAGCAAATCAATTATATGCAGAAGCCCGATTGTTAACTTATTCAGACTTCCCGACGAAGTTTACATGGCATGAAAAAGGGGATGTTAAGGAATGGAGGCCACGTAAAAATGGTTTGGTTATTGGTCGGTTATATTTTGTAAATCCAAATGAAGGAGAAAGGTATTATCTTCGTATGCTACTAAATGTTGTACGTGGACCCTGCAGTTTTAAAGATATTCGCACTGTTGATGGTGTTGAGCATCCGACCTATATGTCTGCTTGCAAAGCGTTGAGGTTACTAGGAGATGATGGTGAATGGGTTGAGTCAATTCGAGAGGCTTCCCAATGGCAGTCAGGAAAGCAACTTCGAGAACTATTTGTAACTATTTTGTTATTTTGTGATGTTACTGATCAAGAAAAGTTTTTTTTGGGATTCTTTCCCGTTTTTATCAGAAGATGTTGCTTATAATCAACGTAGATTGCTTGATAATGAAGATCTAATGTTCTCGCATGATGAGTTGGTAAACTACACTCTGCTTTATATCGATAATATTTTATATGGGAATTGTCGTTCGTTGGTTGATTTCCCCAATCTACCTCAGTTAAACCATAGTTTGTTAAGTATAGGTTCGAATAGGTTAATTGTTGCTGAGCGGACATACAACGTCGAAGAAGAAATAAGGATTTTCAATGAGCTTTACAGTGGTTTAAATGTGCAACAGAAAGAAGTTTATACTATTATAATTAATGCTGTCAATAAAAAGACAGGTGGCTTTTATTTTGTCTCTGGTTGTGGAGGGACAGGAAAAACATATTTGTGGAGAACAATTATTGCTTCTATTCGATCGCATGGAAATATTGTTTTATCAGTCGCGTCATCTGGCATTGCATCTTTGTTATTACCTGGTGGTCGTACAGCGCATTCCAGGTTTAATATTCCTATTGATATTGATAAAGACTCAACTTGTGGTATCGATGTTGGCTCAGATCTCGCAGAGTTGATTAATATTGTTGAGTTGATTATTTGGGACGAAGCTCCACTACAACATCGTTATTCATTTGAAGCTGTTGATCGTGCATTTCGTGATGTATGTCGTTATTATGTTGTTGGATCTGAAAACAAAGTGTTCGGAGGGAAAGTGGTAGTTCTTGTGGGTGATTTTTGTCAAATTTTGCCTGTTATTCAACATGGATCCCGTTCTGATGTTGTGTCCTCTTGTATAAACAAATCAGAAGGTCTATGGAATTCATGTCGCTTTTTTGTTTTGACAACGAACATGCGTTTGTCTGATCAAAACATTACTGGCGATGAACTTATAAAAATGCGTGAATTTAGTAAATGGATTCTTGAAATGGGTGTTGGTCGGCTTCCTACGTGTACAGTTGAAGGTGAAGACGATGGTACATGGATCACTATACCTGATGATCTTCTTATTCCTGTTGCTGATAATCCTATTGATGCTGTTACATCCATTGTATTCCCAGATATTTTGAGTAGACTTAATGACATGTCTTACATACAGGAACGATGCATCCTTTGCCCGACAAACGATGATGTTGACATGATCAATTTACATGTGCTTTCTAAGATGTCTGGTGACATGCATGAAATGTTAAGTGCTGATGAGATTTGTCGAAGTACTGATAATTTTGCCGAATTGGAAATTATGTATTCTTCAGAATTTCTTAACACGTTGCGGTTCTCAGGAATTCCAAACCATGAGTTAAACTTAAAGGTTGGTGCACCGATCATTTTGTTACGTAACTTAAATTTGCAAAGAGGTCTGTGCAACGGGACTCGGTTGGTCATCACACAAATTAGTCGGAGGGTTTTGGAGGCGGTGATTATTACCGGTACTCATATTGGAGAGAAAGTATTAATTGGGAGGATTGATATGACTGCATCGGACACAACATGGCCTTTTAGATTTAAAAGAAGACAATTTCCTGTCAAAGTTTGCTTCGCTATGACAATCAACAAAAGTCAAGGGCAAACGTTTAATCATGTATGTGCTTTCTTGGTGAAACCTGTTTTTTCACATGGTCAGCTTTACGTGACAGCGTCTCGTGTAACCTCTCGTGCTGGTCTTCACTTTTATATTGACAACAAGGGGAAGTGTGGTAACAATATGACAAAGAATGTTGTTTACAAAGAAGTTTTCTATAATTTACCATTACATGGTATAAACAACATTGAATGAGTGCATTGCAAGTTCCGATATAGGTATAATCATGTTCATAAATGCATAAGTTCATGAAGAGGCTTATTTCTTAACAGGTACAATTTTTTTTTTCAGAAAAATAATCATGTAATGGTTTGTTCATCCTTTTTTTTAATAGAAAAATTTTCATATATTATATTTGATTTATTAAAAAACTATAATTTTTTAAGGAAATATATATACGCATCATTTACTAACTTCAAACATTCGGTAGTAAATTAACAACTACAATCCCTTTAATACTTCCATTAGGGCTATTAATGTAATTTAGTTATTTATTTATTTATTTATTATTTTTTTAATTGATTAGGATTTTTTTAACTTAACGTTTTACCTAATTGATATCGTCTATCTCCATTGAATATATCCAACTTATCCCTCATTCCTATTTCTCCGCTGTTAACTGCCAACGATCGGTAGCTCCACGTTCTCTTCTAATGTTTCAACTTATTCGATTGTTCAGGGTCTTCAAACTCTTGTCGATCACTATTGTCGTCTGGTACTGTATATTGTGCTTCAGGTATCAGTAAACGCACTTGCCTCTTTTTTGATTTCATAGTATACAGAATTTGTGCGTGCAAGGTTAGTCTTAGTTAATTTTTGTTTGTTGAAGAATGTACTAATCGATTAATGATGACACTGATTAATGATCACACTGGTGCTGTTCTAAATCGAAGTTCTGGTCAATTTCTTTATTAGTAATTTTGATTTATGTTGGATATCGATCGTTTGATTGCAATTTTGATTTTTGTTGGATATCGATGGTTTGATTGCAATATGTTATGGATATGTATAGGAAGACATGACGATCAGTTCCAATTATCTGATGATAAGTGATTTGAGGCCTAACATTACTGATAAGTTGCAAGTACATGTGATGGTCTCACGTAAGTGGACAACATACAACCCTTCAACAGATCGTGTTTTCTCTTTAGATCTAATTCTTTGTGATGAAAATGTAAGTTTATTTGATTAAGTATTTCTGACTTTGCATTACGATATGGATTTTGTATGTTATGATATTACTTGCATTTAACAGGGATCTTCTATTCATGCAACCATTGCAAGTTCATTCATGTGCAAGTTTACTGATGTTGTACAAGAGGGATGTGTTTATAGGATATATAAATTCTCGGTTTTACCTTGTCAATCATTATATCGGCCACTTCGTAAGGACATCTTTATTAAATTTCTTGCTGATACGTCAATTGCTGCTTCCCACTTGCCATCAACACTCTTTCAACGTTATGTTTTTGACTTATTTCCGTTCAATGAGCTTAGTTCACGTGTTGGTGACGACAAATATCTTACAGGTTAAAATTGTTTTTCTACGTTTGTTATTAGATTGCAAAATCTTAAGTAACTTCTTATTAAATTGTAGATGTCATTGGGAATCTTTGTGAGTGGGGTTCTCTTGAGGAAACAGCACGACCATCTAACTCATGTAAAGTTGGATTGCGAAAGATTGTTCTTTCTGATCAAAGGTATATTATGATTATATATATATATATATATATATATATATATATATATATATAAGCGATAATTTAATATGTTACAACATTGGTTGATGGTTATTACTAAATTTATTTGGTACAGTGATATGAAAGTGAGTATAACATTGTGGGGTAAGTTGGCTAAGAAGTACACCGATGAACACATCAAAAGTTTTAAGGAGATGAAAATTGTACTCATTGTAACGTCTTGCAAAGTTGTATTGTTCAAAGGTGTAATTTCATTTTTTTATAAATAAGATGTTAATTATGTTTACATGTAATATATATATATATATATATATATATATATATATATATATATATATATATATATATTTGTTACTATTGTAGGTGTTCCAAGTTTGAGAACTACAGTTGGATCTGAATTATTTTTTAATCTTCCAATAGACATTGTTGCTACATACAAATCAAAGTAACCGTGTTATTATATTTATTATTTGTTAATTTGTTTTAACACATTTATCAATATACGTTACTTTTTTATGTTGTCGGATTATAGTCAAGCGATGCATGTCTTGCTTCAATCGGAGAGGCAAGTTGAATGTCCTTCTGTGGCAACCATAGAAAATATGTATAGTGATATACAAAAAGGCGTCATTGAGGTAGTACCTTATTACTATGAAATATCAATTATTATAGTAAATATATAATTAATCATATCTATTTTTCATTTATGAAGGGTACAATGTACACTGTTGTTGGAACCATCATTGACATAGACATGTTTAATGATTGGAAGTTCATCCAGTGTTCACGATGCTATAAGAAGGGTACTTTCGTTGATAATCGCTATTTTTGTTCTGGCTGTCAGAAAAATATAATTAATCCGCGTCAAGTGTATGTTTATATATATATATATATATATATATATATATATATATATATATATATATATATATATATATATATATATATATATATATATATATATATATTATAATACTTATATGATGTTTCTAAATACTTTTGTTTAGGTATAAGTTGGTAGTTGAAGTAGCTGATAAGGATAAACAAATAAGATGTGTTTTCTTTAATGAATATGCTACTCAACTTATTGGCCTTACTGTTGGTGAATTAGTTAATATGAATTTATTGGAGGTACTGTTGTATATATATATATATATATTGAAACACCCACACAAATGCTTACATATAATACTATTTTATTATGTTTTTATAGGGTGGTAATGATCCTAATTGGGTACGTACTTTCCTGTTTGAAAGGTTATGTGGTCTAAGTATTGTTTTTTCAATTAAGATTGACCATTACAATTTGGCACCACAATATGTGTGTCGTTTCACGGTTACTAAATACCATGGTGCAACTTGTAAAATTCCAAACCAAGAAAAGACGTTGCCTACAAATGAGGTCATTTCTCAATTGCAAACAACTGTTGTCGAATCATTGTTGTCTCCATCATCTGAACGGTAAAGTTTATTGGATCTTACATTATAAATTTTTTATTGTATTGTTTATATATTATTTTACAATATGTATTTTTTTTTCGTATTTATTTTTTTGTTTGCGTATCAAGGAGTTTGTGTTTTTCATAAGTGCAATTCTCATGTAAATAATCTTAAATTTACAAATTATGCTACGGATCATGTTTCGTTTATTAAATGATTTTTACTACATATTTTCTTAAATTATCTTAATTTAATATGTTCATTATTCATTTTTTTCGTATTAGGATGACTTACGTAATGTCAAAGATGAGGGTTTCAGTGCTTCTATTTCGGAATTAAATCATATGGAATGTAAAGATGTAAGTTATAATGTTTTGTTTACCAATTTTATTTCTGTTACATATTGAAATTCTTCATTTGTTACTTTGATATTGTTTTTTTTGTGTGCATACTTAGGATGATGTTGGTTTATTTTCGATTCAAACAAATGTTGTTGAATCAGTGTCACCTAAATCAGCAACATCAACAATAAAGGTACTGCTTATTGTATTTTTTACTACAAATTATATATATAAGTTATATTCGTTATATCTTATGTTTCTTTATGTATTTCACATGCACAATTATTAGGTCGTTTGTGATAATCATCAGGTTGATGTTTCTGACAAGCTCATTTATAAAGTAAATAATATTGAGTGCAATAATTAATTCATACCATGTTTTCTTTCAATTCAGTTTAAATTGTTATATATTTAGTTCAATTACATTATTTGATATTCTTATTATTTATCTTTTATTTTTTCTTACTAGGATGCTTCTGCTAATATGAAAGATGTTGCTATTGTGGCACCTATGTATGAGGTTAGACATGTGAAATATATTTAATAATGTAACTTGTAACTTATGTTTTGTCATATGGTTTTACTTATGTTATTTTCTTATAATTAGGTTGCTTCTAATAGTAATGAAAATGATGGTGTTACAAAAAAAGTGTATCTAATGAAAAGGATGTGGAAGATAGTGACAGATGTGACAATGTATTATTATATTTTTTATACTATTGTTGTATATTTTTTTTAGGTTTGAAGTTTTCTTATTCTTCTTATTGATCTATTCAATTAGGTTGGTGACGATACTATTGAAGATGATATTTCTAAGACACATATCTCCATATGTGGTTTACAAGATGGTGGAGAAAGTGAAGTAAGTTACAACATATTGTGTATAGTTTCTATTTTCCTTACGATATGGAACAAAATTTCAACGATTATTGTCACCTCATTTGATACGTTTGAAGTTTTCTTATTCTTCTCATTGATCTATTCAATTAGGTTGGTGATGATACTATTAAAGATGATATGTCTAAGACACCTATCTCCATATGTGGATTACAAGATGGTAGAGAAAGTGAAGTGAGTTACAATATATTGTGTACAAAATTTCAACTATTATTGACACCTCATTTGATACATTACTTTGTTAGTTATTATTCTTATTTTCCTTTTCCATTTTTTTTACAATTAGGATGTTTGTGCTGTTATTGAAGTTGATTCTTCTGAAAAATCGTTTATCGGATCCTCAATAACACCAATGAAGCGTCGATTTCCACGATTGCGTGACGAGTCTTTTGAAGATGATATTGTTGGTTGAATTCATATTACTTTTTAAGTTTTTTGACATTGTTTTCTAAATTGTCTTTATCTTCCAATTTTCAAATTTCAGTTTTCATATTATCGTAGTCCTCAGTTTTTTTATAGGTTAATTGAAATTATTAGGTAGATTAAACTTTTTATATTAGGTTTTAGACATATTTATTATTCGATAACTTTAAATGTATGGAATGACATGGTACATTCATGTTTTTTTTGTCCTTATGACGAAACACATTATTGTTGGGGTGCCATATGCCAAATGATCTTACTAGGTTTTTCCATAAGATATTACTTGGTTTGTCGTTGTGGGTGATTTTATCTGAACTAATATATAAATGAATGAAAGTAATATGCAGTAAGCTTAAGATAAATCAAAATACTATTCATATATTTGTCAACCTGTCCACCGGACGGGTATGACACTAGTTATATATTAATAGAACGTGATGTTTATAAAGGGCGTATGAAAAAAAAGTTGTTGTCCGTAGGAATCGAACTGGCGTTTATCCCAAAACTACAACGCGCTTCAGCCAACTACACCAAATCAAATTTATGTTTCGACTTGAATCAAATAATATATATACATTTCGTAACTTGATAAATTGCTAACAATCGGGCCGTATTTTTTTCAGGCCCTGTGCGACCACACAACTTGCACTCACTTAGGGCCGGCCTTGCGTTTAATTGCTGAAACACAAAAAAAAAAAATTTGATTTGACACCCTTTCTTGCGGGGCTTGTAACTCATCCAGTTTTTAATCAAATCAAGCGTTTTTATAGTCTAAACTTAACTATAAATCCTAATCTACATGTAGGAAAAAGATTCAGGTCAAAACAAGTTAAATTGAGTGAGTTATGCACGTTTGAACAACAAAGTCAGATTACATTTAATTGCTCAAACATAAAACAAATTCTGATTTGACACCCTTCCTTGCGGGGCTTGTAACTCATTCAATTTTTAACCAAATCAAGTGTGTTTATAGTCTAATCTTAACTACAAATCATAATCTACATGTAGGAAAAAGATTCAGTTCAAAAAAAGTTAAATTGAGTGAGTTATGCAACTTTCAAAATTTGAGTGAGTTATCCGGTCCGGTTCCCGGTTTTGGGCCGGTTCCAACGATCGGTTCTTACCAGGTCCCGGTTCCAAAAATTGACGAAATTATAGTATCGGTCCCGGCCCGACCGGTTCCATCGAGCTCCGGTTCCGGTTCCGGGATCGGTTCTGGCCGGTTCCCCGGTCCATATGCTTATCCCTAATTGCACGTTCAACGAATCAAAACATGTGTAAATATATAATGTATGTGTCTTATAACAAATAATATGATATTGAAAGATGAAAATTATGCAATATGTCTCGTATACGTTAGCAATTTCCTCACTAAGGAAGAAGTAAATGCATATATGATTATGATATTGTGAAACTCATAAACTCATCACCAACTTTGATAAGATCTTATTGATCACATTGAGCATCCCTATAGACCTTCTATGGACAACTAGTTCTTTTTTTTTTTAATTTTAATTATTGTATAGGATTTCGATAATCGTTTTTAGGTTTTAGTAGTATTCATTTTTTTTAATGAAAATTTATTTGTATTTTTAGTTTTATTTATTTAATTTGAAAGTATTAAGAGGGCGTTTAGTTGCGGAAAAACCGGTCGTTTTCCGGAAAAATTTTCTAAGAAAAATGAGAATTTTGAAAACGCGTTTAGTTTGTCTATTTTTCTAAATTTTTCGAGGAAAATGAAATTTTTCTGTTTTCTAAAATTACAAAGAAGTTGGAAGTTTTTGGAAAACCGATAATCATGGTTTTCCACATTTTTCTAATTTCAAAATTTTTCTAAAATATAAACACACACCCACTCCCACTCCCACCCACCTCTACTAACCCCCACCTCAACACCCTCAGCCCACCACACTCCTACCTACCCACACCCACTCACTCTCACCCCCCCCCCCCACACACACACACACACAAACCCACCCCCACAAACACAGACATACACACACACACACACACACACCCATCCCCACCCCACCCCTACCCCCACAAACACACACACACACAAACACAAACACACACAGACATAGACACGCCCACCCACCCAACACCACTACCACAATCACCGACCTACCATTACCATCACCACCACCACCACCACCGCCGCCGCCATCACCACCACCACTGTCACAATTGCCGCCGCCACACCACCACCGCCTGTCATCACCACCACTGCCGCCGCCTCCACCCCCACCCTACCACCGCTACCGTTTTCTAAAAATGAAAACCCATAGAAAAATACACATTTAAACACGTTTTCTAATTTTCTAAAACTGAAAATGAAAAATGAATAAGTTTTTAACTAAACGCCTTTTCTAAATTTTCCAATGAAAACTGAAAACAAAAAACGAAAACTGATGAAGGAAAACGAAAAACGGAAAATGAAAACTGTTTTTCCATAACTAAACGCAACCTAAATGTTTTAATATTTTTTTAAAAAGAAAATTGTATGGGATGAGAAAAATAGATTAGACAAACTGCAAAACTAGTGTATGTGGTATGCAAAAAAATTATGGATAAGATCCAAAAAAAATTCAACTTCATGGATGGTTCAAAATCAAGTATTTTATGTAGCTTTAGTCCCAAAATTAACAAACTCCCATGATTTTAGTCCTTAAAAGACTTGAAATGACCGTTTTGCCCTTTTCCTTTCTTTTTTATATTATTTCATATTTATTTTCATATTTTGTTTATTAAAAATTAAAAAGAAAAACATTGGGCCCACTTATTCCACCCACCGTACCCAATCTCTTTCTCTCTCTCTCTATATATATATCTATCTATCTCTCTCTCTCTAACCTAACCCATACCTCTTCATCTTCAAGATTTTAACCCCCCCCCCCACCTAATCCATCGTCAGCATCCACGATTCTTCTCAACCATCGAACCCCATTGTTGATCTTATAAACATAACTCTGATGAAACCTCATCCATACTATCGTATATGACAACCAGCACCATTGCACCACTACCTGATTGCCAAACCACAAACATATCATCATTTGTAATCTTGTTTTGATTAGCAAGAATTATGAGGAATTGCAACAGAAGCTCAAATATAATTTTGATACTTTTGCGACTTTGAAGTCCACCACCCTAGTGCAACCTCCGGAGTGCTACCTGATTACTATGTCTCACCAATCGATTGGATTTAATACATATACACAATAGATTAAAACACAGACATAAATACACATAGGATGCAAATCTGATTCATAAAGAAAAATGAGAGCAGTGTACTGGTGTTGCTCGACAGGAAAGAGAAAAGAGAAAGAAAATCAAAGAGAAAGAAGGGTGTTGCTCTACATGAAGGAAAAGGAGAGAAAGAAATCCAAAGAGAAAGAATGAGACATATCTGATCTACTAGCCTTGTAAAGACCCCGAAAAACGATAAATTTTTTCATTTTTAAAACAAGTAGTACAGGTATATAATTGTTCCAAAACCATCATAATGTATAAAAATCACATAATCAGAGTACGATATCAAAAATGCGGAAATTATGGGAGAGAATGTTGTGCTATCACATCTGACCCTTCCCCTTAGTACCGGAAGTACCTGAAACCATAAACACAATCTGTAAGCAAACACTTAGTAAGTTTTCCACAAAGTACCACATAACGACATACAAATTACTGCTATGGGCCAAACCATAGTCTTATGTATAATTCTTGCCGAGGGCCATATCCCGGTCTTCCATACAATTGCCAGGGGCCAGATCCTGGTCTTTCATTCAACTGCCAGGCGCCAGATCTTGGTCTTTCATACAGGTGCCAGGGGACAAACCCTGGTCTTTCATACACATAACACGCAAGTAATTTGTATCCTATAAACAAATCATGGGCCAGCCTTGGTGCCTTCGACCCATTGATACAGTGAGAAAACTCACCTCAGTCTATTGGAAGCAACAAGATGCTCGACTGCTAAACAGGAAGATCCCACACTACACAAACAATTAGCCTTAATCAGAATTTGGTCATAATCCCAAATCATGGGCCTAAGCTCTAAGTTCATACTCCTAAAATAAGGGCTCAAATGCTTTTTCCCTTTAATGGGCCTAATTTTTCCTCGCCCAAAAGCAATGACAGGCTCCAAGGCCCAAAAGGCCCAACTACGCCACTTAAGGCCCAACATCAAATTCAAAGGCCCTCCTACTCTAAACAGATCAATGCCCAAAACCAAATAGGGCCCAATGACACAAAAGCCCAACATAAGCCCAAAAGCTCACAAGGAGCGTACGCGCGGCGTAATCCCATTATGCTCAACGTACTTGCCCGCAATGTAGTACGCGCTGCGTACACCTTGGTACACCCAGCGTACTACGCTGCTCAACCCCTTCAACCATTTGGTGCTTGATCCATGCAATCACTTGATCCCACTACCATATATCGGTCATTAAGAGGGTCATAGGGCATAAAGTTGGCAATTTTATGCCTTAGCATGTCTTATGGGAGTCCAACATCCTTTTTTGTTCATCAAAGCTCGTTTAAAGAACCTAGATTCATGCATGGTTTCATATCCATCACCAAGATAACATTTTTATGCTTCTAACATGCCAAAGGGACTAAGATCTACCATTTCTAGCTTCTGGAGTTACCCAAACTCACAAAAGAGAATCCACTGACCAAAAATGAGCTTATAAACAAATCCTAACTCTAACTATCAAAAGGATCAACAAGGTATGAGCTTTTTACCTTCAAAAGCTTTCCTAAGATGATGTAGATTCAGGATCTTGAAGCTCAACCATGTCCAAGGCTTGCTCACCAACTTCTCTTTCTTGCAAATACACCAAAAAGGCCACTAAAGTCACTTTCAAGCTCAAAATCACTCTTAATGGCAACTAAGGTTTTAGGGACGTTCAAAGGTAGTGGAGGCTGATAAGGATGAGGGTCCAAGAATCATAAATGTGTTTAAATAGGGCTCATGCCCTAAGATTA